ATAGGACATAACACTTTAACTGAACTGGTCTATTCTCAGGACCAAGAGACTGATTGAACAAGATATGGAACAATCTACCAGCTCAGCTTCTGGCCTGTGACACCAGTATTATCTCAGTAAACAAACTGTAGTACATAATAACCTATTTTATGTATTTTAACTTTTTATTATGGAAATTTTGAAACATACGTAAAAATAGGCCCAATAATACAAGGAAGCCCCCTACCCTCCCACCCCCCCTCCCCGTGTGTAATCTCCCAGCTTCAACAATTGTTAACTCAGAGCCAATCTCCTCTATTTTATGTATCAACTACTTTACAGTGTTTAAAATACTTGCATCTCATAACAACTGAGAAGGTAGGTCGTGTAATTTTACAGTAAAATCCTCTTTCTAACAAATTACCACTTTAATGTAAATGCCAATTTTTAAGATAGAGGAAAAAAGATACTATAAAGTGTGCTCGTATGCCTTTACGCATGTTTTATTGGGTTTTTGTGTATCCTAATTCATTAACAAAGGGGAAAGGAGGAACACCAGCATGTTTTATCTTCAGCTATTCTTCAAACTGAATGCAATTATTTTTCAATAAAATCGTTAGGATAAATTGCCAATTTCTACTTTTCTAGAAAACTGCTTTTACTGAACAACCTTGATCCCAACCCAACCTATAAAAATAAGATTTTACTGAACAAACTACTTCTAACATCAAATTTTGTACATAACAGCTGCGAATGTCTAAAATTTGAAGGAAGCATTATAATTTAGAACAATTCTAGGCCAAAAGTGATATTTGTAGAGGATCCAGATGCATGAAAATAAAATAAACCAAATGAGCTTTTTAATTCATGGTTTGGATATCATTTTTCTAAGAGTTATCAATGAAACTGTCACGTGTTCCTGGAATTTAGGGCTATTAGAATGATTTATTTTTACATCTCTCTTTCACATAATTGTGTCTGCTATTTTAACAGAAAATATTTATGTTCACATGCACATGGGTATTGATTATCAATACCTTCACATTACGTTATTACTTGCACATGAATTAGTTCCAATTCTCTTTTCAACCTGATTTGCATACCCATAATATTATCATATAGTATGTATCATATTTACAAATACTTAATTGTGTATAGATTTTTTCTTGATCTCTTTCTTACTTGTCTAAGAATATCAAGGATGTCCCCCAAATGCTTATTTGAAGGTTGATTTAGTGACAGTAGCAGAACCCCAGGCTCCAATGTCAGACGGGAGGAGTTCTACACGGTGCACTAATTATGCTGCAGAAGTTATCGTTGCATTTTACTCACCAAGGCAAAAGTAAATGTTTCGGGATTATATGATATGTTTTTGTTAACTCCCAAGATGAGATTTTTTTTACCTTTACTTGAGAACTGAATGCTGAAATGAAGTGGCTGATGCCAACAATCTAAGCCTTCATTAGTACAGATGAAGCAATGCTCACTTCATTACACAAATAATTAGAGATTAAATGAAAACAAACACTGAGAACATGTACAGAAGCTCTGAAGTTAGGCAATCATTTTAATTACTCTAATGACTTCCACTAACCTTCATTATCAACCACAGATCAAGTTTAAATTGTTCTATGTACGAATATCATAAACTATATGGGAAAGTATGGTAGCTACCCAGTGATTATGCTTCATAAAAATGACATTTTCTTCAAGTTTCCATTTAAAGGAAGTGTTTCCATTCCAGTGCCTGATAAACTCTCTAAATATTTTAAAAGCATGATAAATTTTTGCATTTAACAGTGATTTACCCTGGTTTTCTGCTTCAAATGGACATTCTTAATAATTTTTGTATCTCCATATCTTTACTCAGATGTGATCATAAAAGATTTGGGTCCACATTTTTGAGTCACTGAATGTAAAACAATATGGCAGGGCCGGCCCTGTGGCTCGGTGGTTAAGTGCGCGCGCTGCGATGCTGGTGGCCCGGGTTCGGATCCCGGGTGCGCATCGAGGCACCACTTCTCCGTTCATCCTGAGGCCGAGTCCCACATACAGCAACTAGAAGGATGTGCAGCTACAACACACAACTATCCACTGGGGCTTTGGGGGGAAAAATAAAATAAATAAAATCTTTAAAACAATATGGCATATCCAGTCTTTGAAATAAATGTCACTTGGAATCATGTCACCCTTATTGCGTGACAAGCTGCACCTTGTATTGGGGGTAAATTGATTTCCTCTTTCTTCCCCTCTGTACCCCAAACTGAGAAGACTCTACTACACACACAACGCCTTCCTGACAGATGGGGCCCTATTTAGAGGCATTGTCAGTCCTGTTTAGAATGGATTTCATTTTATAGTCCTGGGTGATGACAATCTCGCAAGATCTCCTGGGTTAAGATCTTTTGAGGAAGTGTTACTTGTATGTAAGTACCATCTATTGACTGCCTGCATAATGCCAGCTCCTCTGCAAAATACTTTACCTAACTTATCCTGTTTAATCCTTACAAAATTCCCATGGAGTATGCATTATTAACTCCATCTTCTAGATGAGGAAATGGAGGCTTTGACAGGCTACTGACTTTCTAACGCTGCGTAAGTAGCCCAGCTGGGAATCAAACCCAGGTCTGCCAGCCTCCAAGAACCAGGATGCCCCCAAGAGATGGCTGAAGGAGGTAAACCGGGAAGCAAATACTGACCAAGGGTAATGGAGACGATGGTGTGACCTCCTTGATGCGGATGTGCCACTAAAGTGCCATGTTGTATGACACCTGTGAATTCTGGGCACCAGTTAATATCCCAAGTTCCAAAATTTGATTTTGAAAGTGTGTCATCTCTCAATAGCCCTGGTTGCTGGAGAAGAAGCGATTAAAAAATAGGTTTTATGGTATAGTGGGAATAACCAAGAGTTTACTAACGAGGTGCTTTTTAGTACAATTCGGGAACTACCTGAGCTTCACTCAGCCAACCCACAGGGCATTGTTCTTCAACTACGCACATTAAAAATTCCCACAGGGTGAAGGAGACTTAGGTAACCCTTGCGGGGGGCGGGGGGGGCCGTGTGTAGTGCTTTCTAGGATTTAAGAAAAGCTTTTGCTGAACTCCCTCCCCCAAGACACCGAGTTCGATTTCCGTGGGCGCACCCCCGGGCCAGACCAGGACACGTCTTCCGGAGGCTGCGTTATGATCGAGGCCCCCCAGGCTGGCCGAGAACAGGATCGCACGGGAAGGGGTCTAACAGGTGCGGTGTTTCCGATGTTGAGGATGCCCTAACTTGCCGCGTTTGAAGTGTGAGTTCTGAGCGATACAGGGCGGTGGGGACCGAAGGCTGGACCCTGGGAGGGTGGAGGCGGGTCAAAGCTACACGCTTCACTCTCAGGTCTCAAATTCCAGCGGAAAGGGGCTGGCGGGACCTTCACAGACGCGGCATCGCTGGGCGGGTGGGGGGCGCCGCAGCACCCCTACCCGCCCCCAGCTCTCCATCGCCCGCCCTCAGAACGCGCGCCTACAGGGAATTACTCGTGAACAAGCCTGAGCAAGACAGACAGCTCAGAAGACGGGCTCAGAAATTCTTATCGCCGGCCGGGAAGAGGCTCTCCCGCAGCAATGCCCGCGCCTCCCGGGCTGCGAGTGTGCGGCGCGCCCCCCGCTCCTCCCCGTGCGTTACAGACGCAGGGCTCGGCGGCAGGTGCGCCCCATAGAAGAGTGCACACCGAGCGCCAACTGTTTGCTCGTGCCTTGCGGACACTATCCTCGGACGCTGTGACCGGTCGCACGTGCGCACACCCGGGAGCGCAGCCCCGCGCGGACGGCCGCGTCCGAGTGATTCCCAGGCCGCGCGGGAGCCACGTCCTGTGTCCGCTTGGCCGCTTGCCACTGACCTCAGGGAAGTCACTTTAAACTCTGAGCCTCGGCTTCCTCGTCCAGAAAATGAAGGCGATGCCACCTCCCAGGCCTCTAGAAGGGGTCGTTGGGAGGGTCAAACGGAATAATGCCAATGGCGCGGACTGCGAGGATTGTGACTTCAAATTACTGAGGAAAAATAAGTTAAACGTGCTCGGCTGGAGTGGCAGGAATTTCCCCAACGATCTACGTGCAGCGGGGCAGCGGCCCCACGTCCCGGGCTCCGCCGACGTGGGCCTTTCGGGGACCCCGCTCTGCGGCCGCGCCTGGGCCCCCCCGGCGCCTGGCTCCAGAGAGGGTCCTGGCCCCTCCCGCCTCCTCGCACCCCGACCTCGGTTTCCCGAGCTTTCCGCCCGGGAATGCGCTTTCCTGGCGGATCTCCAAAGACAGGGCAGCATTTCAGAAAGCTGAGCGCGCGGACCTCAGCGGACTAGGCCCCCTCCCGGAGATCGCGCCGCCCCGCGGGGCCGCCTGTCCGCCTCCCCTGGCCGTGCGCCCCCTCCCCTCCACTCCCCTCCCGCCCGCAGCAGCGCCGCGGTCTCCCTCGGGGGAGCTGGGAGCACGCCGGAGTCTGCAGCGCCCCCGCCCCTCGCTCCTTCTTTCTTCCCGGCTTTGGGATCCTGCTGCCGGAGCGGGAGAGGCGCTGAGCGGAGCAGGACGGAGCGCAGGCTTGGCTGCGGCGCGCGCTCGGAGCCGGAACCACCGCCCCGGCGTCCCCTCCCGGCCTCGCCGCCCCTGCCGGGACGTGACTAGGAACCCTGGGCGCCGGCCTGCTGCCCTCGAAGGGGCCCCGGAGAGCGCATCGGGGCCCACGGCGGAGCCCCTCCGCCCGCAGCGCCGCGGGACCCGCTCCGGCTCGCAGTCCTGGGGAAGCGCGCGGAGATCTCCGCCTTCCCGGCGTCGGCACCACTCCGGCCTGCAGCGCGCGCTGCACCGAGTCCGCCTCGCGCCGACCCGCCCCGCGGCCCCCGCTCCTCGGCACCTGCGCGGAGCCCCGGAGCCCGGCGCCCGACCCCGCAGCGCCCCGACCCCGACCCCATGGAGAGCGCGCCGGCCGCCGCTTCCTGAGCGCGGGCGCCGCCGTCCAAGCCGCGCGCTGGGTCCCCGTTCGCCCTCCTGGGGCGTCCGAGAGGCCGGCGGGGAGCGCGCCATGAAGTCCGTGCTGTTCAGCCGCTTCTTCACTCTCCTGCCCTGGGTCCTGATCGTCATCATCATGCTCGACGTGGACACGCGCAGGCCCGCGCCCCCGCTCACCCCGCGCCCCTACTTCTCCCCCTACGCGCGCGGCCGCGGGGGCGCCCGACCCCCGCTCCGCAGGTCGGAGAGGCGCAACCAGGCCGGGCCGCCGCGCGCGCCGCCCCTGCCCACCATCTATGCCATCACGCCCACCTACAGCCGCCCGGTGCAGAAGGCCGAGCTGACGCGCCTGGCCAACACCTTCCGCCAGGTGGCGCAGCTGCACTGGATCCTGGTGGAGGACGCGGCGGCGCGCAGCGAGCTGGTGAGCCGCTTCCTGGCGCGCGCCGGGCTGCCCTGCACGCACCTGCACGTGCCCACGCCGCGGCGCTACAAGCGGCCCGGGCTGCCGCGCGCCACCGAGCAGCGCAACGCCGGCCTGGCCTGGCTGCGCCAGCGGCACCGGCACCAGCGCGCGCAGCCCGGCGTGCTCTTCTTCGCCGACGACGACAACACCTACAGTCTGGAGCTCTTCCAGGAGGTAGCGCGCGCCGGGGGAGGCGGGAGGGCCTCGCCGGGCTGCCCGGGCCTCTCCTGCCCTGGGGGTGGGGGGCGGGCGAGAGGATCACCGTGGCCCAAGGGAGCGAGGCTGGCCGGGCTGTGCTGCCCCGGGCCCCGAGATCGGGCCGAGGGACGGCACAGGGCGAGGCGCGGGGAGGACGCCGGCCGTGAGGATGGAGCCCAGAGGCGGCGGGGCGAGCTCGGGGGACCCTGCGCACAGGTGTGACTCTGAGTGCAGAGCCACGTGGGGAGGAGGGTGCAGATGGTGACTCAGAATCAGCCCGGAGACGGTTCTCTCGTCCAGCCCGCTGGCACCAAAATGGTTATTGGTGAAAATGCGGACTTCCTCGGGGGTCCTTCTCTCTCTTCCTGCGCCCCACAACGGCCGGTTCTGACTCCGAAGATGACCTCTTGTTCAAGTAGACCCTCTGGCAAATGAGTGGAGGCGGTTCTGCCGCGTGGTTGTCTTTTCGGAGCTGGACTGCCGGGTCCTTTTCTGGACCTTTCCCTCGGCCCCTCCTGCCCCGGGCCTCGCCCCCAGGTGCCCGCCGGAGGTCCTGGTTGCGGCCGGCCCTGCTGCCGAGACGGCGCTCTCTTCGCTCGGAGGGCGCGCGCACGAGCTGCCTGCGCCGGCAGAGCGGATGTTGTGTCTGGAGGCTGGGATTTTGCAGTCTGTGTGTTTTCTGCAAACGAGACTCGGTTACCTGGTTTTGTCAGTTTTCTTTTTCCTTGTACACAAATAGACCTAAAAGAAAGTTTTGGATTCTTTGACATCCCGTCGGACCGTTGCCTTCCTCTACCCAACATTCCTCAACATCCTGCCTCTCAGACTCCCGCCCCCAAGTAAACTGGACAGTCTGTGTGTCTAGGAATCATATAGGCCCCACACTTTCATCCTAATAGCCGTTTGCCTTTATTAACTCAGGACAGAGGTACTCTTTACCCTTCCGGTTTAATTTTTCTTCCTATGTGGCTTTTAAAAATCCATTTCTTAAGGGCAGTAGCCGCCGTCATGTCTGTTCCTCCTCTCCTTTGTGGATAAAAGGACCAGGAATTGCTCTCCATCTTTCCTCTTCATCCTTTCACGATGTAGGGCTTCCCTTCCATGTTTCTTCAGAAATAAGTAAGCTTGACATTGTAGGGTGTGGTCTTTATTAAAACCAAGATTACAGTTATCATCTGTTTTTTCAAGTTGGGCTTTTATTTTGATCCTGCTTATTACTCTTTTCCCCAAAAGATGTGGTTTGTATTCTGAAGGAAAGACCTTTGCATTTCCGTGCACCATAATTTTAAACCTCAGAAGTTTTTTTTCTTCTACAGCTTGCAAGTGTCCTAGTCTGTGAATATGTGTAGTCTTGTGTAAGTGAAGTAATGCACATCATTGTTAGTTAACCTTTTAGGGCAGTGGGCTGTGAAGGGGGAGTGGTTTTCAGTTTATTCCCAGCTTCTAGCCTGGTTGGGATGTGGTGTTAGATGAGTTGAAGAGTTGGCACTACAGGCAGTGAGACGGTTCAGACACAGGCTTTCTTTGATGCTTTCCAACTGAAAGGAAGGCTTGGTGGTGGATATTAAGCAGCAAGATAAGCATCCAGTAGATTTTTTCATTGGTCCATAGGAAAAAAAAGAGCAAGAAGAAGAAAGAAAGAAGAGAGAGTGAGGAGAAAAAATAGTATTGGCCAGGAGGAAACTAGAAAGGAAAAACATGCAAAGCTTTCAAGATACTAAAGTAAACTTAAATTAAGAGCATGTGCATCTCTTTTATAGAGGTGCCAAGTATACAGATTATACAACAGAAGGAATTTTTAAAAAGCATAATATGCACAGCACACTTAGAATTTAATTTCTGTAGTCCTAGAGATTCCTTCCAGACAGCAATTTTAGGACCAGTCCCCTTCTCCAGCACCATCCATCCTCCCCACACACAGTGTTTTTGGACAGAGTAGGCATCTGTTCACCATGAGTACTTGTTGATACTTTCTGTCTTTTTTACAACACCTTCTTTCCCTTGCGTGGCAAGCAGTATTGAACTCTCTAGAAAGTCAGATAGTGGAATTTATGCCTCCTTAGTCTTGTGCGTTCATGAGATGGTCTACCCTACACCTGTTCTAGGGTTAGTGATTCCACGTGGATTACAGTCTAGACATTGCTCTCTTGGAGGAAAGGTAGCACCAGAAAAAACATCTAAAACCTGTGGCTCCCGGGGGAAGGGGAGATGCTGATAAGCGATGCTGTAGGGCCGAGGCGTATATCTCGGTCCTCTGCATTGTGCACACACATTAGTTTTTAAGTAATTCACAGTACTTAAGGAAAGGACGTCCCAAGTCAGGTGTCATCTTTTATTCACAGTGCTTCTAATTTCCATGGTTGATGTTAACGTAGGTAAGATAAAAGGGGGAAGATGAACCGGGTACAAATTACCTCGCTGAGCGCTGGTGGCAGATGAAGGCAGGGAAAGATGAAAGGTCTCCAAATTAAATTAAAGACGCAACAGGCAGTCTGTGTTCAATTATTCCTCCCTGGTAACTGGAAGGGTGCTTTCTTCTCCCGTACAGCTAACTAATTTTCAGCCTCTCCTTTCAACCAAGCCGTGCCACCAGGAAAGAAATGTTTGCACTGAACAGCCCTGTGTTAACAGCCAGATCCCTTTGCAGATGAAGCTTGGTGTGAGTGGCAGCTGCAGACTGGGCCGGCCAGTGGAGACTGAGGTGGGCGGGGTGTTTAGGCTCCGGCACCTCAGGGACTCACTCCTCCTGCTCTTCCCGTGGCTTTGATGGGTCTTCCACTGGGGCGCACAGGTCGTCCTGCCTGCCAGTGCACCTTATGGATGGAGCTCTCTGGAAAGCTTATTTGCAAAGGATTTAAACTGCCTTAATACAAACCACAGCTACAGGTAAACGTGAGTCTGTACCTAGTGATATTTTCAATAACACTGTTGATCGGATTTCTTTATTAGAAAACTCCAAGCTTTCCTGACTTTGAAGCTGATGCTTCTCAGATGAAGTTGCTTTCACCTTGGAAATCAATTGAATTGAAAGGTTAAAAAATAGCACTTTCCAAGGAAGAAAAAAGAACTTTTAAAAATTTAACTTTAAATTTAATGAGGTAAGACTTGAAGACAGGCCGACTCTGAGACACTTAAGGGGCCCCTGAAAGGACTCAGTTAATGAGACTGCATCTCAAAGATGTCTCTGGCAAGCAGTGGCCTGAAGAGGCCCTTTGTCTGGGTTTTGTGGTTGTTAAGCTGTTTGTGCACTAGGCAGGTGGAGGGTCGAGGTTTAATTCTGTGGCTCCTTTTCTGAAGCATTTGTATCACTTCTGTGCTCCCCCTTTACGTGCAGCTTGGAGCCATAATCCAAGGAAATTCAGATTTACAGTGCTTGCCACTTCTCCCCCTAAATAGTAAAGTCTGTGTGTGTTTCCTGACAGACAAGAGATACAGGTACTTCTGTAGGTAATTGTCTTTTCAAAGCAAGGAAACCTAGATTCTCCTAGGTGTACCACAAAAAGACTATTTTACCTGAAATGTGCCCCTTGTGTTTTATGTCTCTCCGTCTAAAAGCTTATTGATAGTTATGCCATAGGTCTGATAAAATGTGAGAATTTTGTAAAAACCTGTATATAAAACTACAGCCAATTTTCTTAGGCCATCAATGTTAAATCTACAGAAGTTCTTTACTCTCCCTGGGTGTATAGTACTTGAGTTATGGCTGATTTTTTATGGGGTTTTCTTTGGTGAGCAGCAGTTTTCATTTGGGATTTTGATATTTTAATGGACCAGAAATAACAATTTGGGTTTAAAAGACGTTCTCTATTCTGCCTCTTCCTATTGTGGTTTTCCATCATTCTTTGTTCTCCAGCCTACTTGTCACTGATTATTCTTCCTTGTGGGCAGACGTGGAGACGTGTCTGGGTTATTGCTGGGTGCAGTGAATGTGTGGCTTGTCACATTTAGGCTCTCGTCCGCTGCTTCTGGAGACTCTGGGGGCGACTCCATTTCTTCCGTCTACTCCACCTGCCTCTAAATTACACGCGGGTAAATTTCTCTTGTGTGAACAGTAGTGGAATAGTAATTGCTTTGAGGCGTACTGCAAAAGCAGAACAGAAGACCCAAAGTCAGCTAGTCCGGGTGGCATTCAAGGAGAGCTTTTTTTTGAACAGAATTCAATAATGTTCAGATATGTCTATTGAAATCTTGTGGACTCTGATGGAATATCTGCTAAGTTAACACATTATTGTATATTTGGTTTACAGTGCTGTTGAAGCGTGAAATTTAAGTTTTGCCTGGTTCTCAAAATCTCTCCCCAAAATGTAAAATTGTTATACCTGCCCACAGATGGATAGATAGGTAGGTGGGGGATAAGTAAGTAGGTTTAGAATAGATTTCCAATTCACAGAAATGAACTAAGGTAATCCATTATGCATGCCTGATCATTTTTGTGTACAATTTTCAATAAATGTTAAAAAATACCCTTTACAATGGACCCGAGCAAAATACAGTTGTCATCGATTGAACCCTTGTGGGCCGGGAACCCCTTGGGGCTTTACCTGTATTACTTTATTTGCTCTTCACAGCAGCCCCTGAGGGGAGACTAGTGCCTCCCCATTTCTTTCCTATCCTGGTGCTGATACTCAGGTGTGAACAGGTCTTTGGTGCGTGCTGGGTTTTTTTTGTTTTTTTCTTTTGTGAGGGAGATCAGCCCTGAGCTAACATCCATGCTAATCCTCCTCTTTTTGCTGAGGAAGACAGGCTCTGAGCTAACATCTACTGCCAATCCTCCTCCTTTTTTTCCTTCCCCAAAGCCCCAGTGGATAGTTGTATGTCTTAGCTGCACATCCTTCTAGTTGCTGTATGTGGGACGTGGCCTCAGCATGGCCGGAGAAGCGGTGCGTCGGTGCGCACCAGGGATCTGAACCCCGGGCCACCAGTAGCGGAGTGCTCGCACTTAACCACTAAGCCACCGGGCAGGCCTCGTGCTGAGG